CGAGATTTCTCCCGGCTGCCATCTATAAGGGACTACAGGGAGATGATGGTCAGGATACGAAAAGTATATAGAGGAAGAAAAGGGCAAGAAGTAGAACCAAACCATACCTGGCCAGAGGGAACAACAACATCGCGCAATGCGCCCGTGGTGTGGTCCAGGGCCTCGAGCACGGACGCGATCCCTACATCGAGGCTCTCTCGCTCCATGCTCTCTGCGGCATCGTCAAGGGTAAAAAGCATCGACGCCGAATCCTACGGATCCATCCACAAGAGCAGGGGCTCGCCTCGCTCGGGCGAGCCGCTGCCCACCAACGTCAGGGTTAGGGATGACTCGCCACCGGCCCCAAGCACCGCTGACCCCTCTCACCGTGACGTTCCCATTGGGATGCCCCCTTCGACGATGGAAGAGGCCTATGGTGCGGGTGCGAACCTCTCTCCTAGCACCACAACTCCCGAGGACCCCTCGGCCGTGTCCCCCTCCATCCGGCCCGCGCCAGGCACCGTCGCTTGGGCTGCCGATGGCACGGGTCATGTCAATGCCTCAGGCAAAGCTATGGTCATGCCTAGCTGTGACCCATCTATCACGGCCGCCGCCACCTCCACCTGCGTCGGTGGGGTAACGATCAGTGTCGTCGCACCCACCATGGTCGGCGCCACGAGCGCAGTTGGTAGCCCCATCCACCCTGCCGTCGGCAGCGGTATCACGGCCGTCACCGACTGCTCCACGATGTCTGAAGGCGACCCTTGAACGCCCATGTCTTCTCATCCCACCGAGGGCACAGGTGGCACCATAGGCAGCACCCGATCGGCCGGCGACGCGGTCACACTGGCGCCGCTCCCGCCCAAAATGGGCGCGACACCAGCCGATGACCGCCACCCCAATTGGAGGGTGATGCTCTTCTTCGGTGCTAGCGCCAAGGGATTCCGCTGTCTGCCGACGCTGTAAAGGACGAAAAACACAAGTCACGATGAAATCCGATTAAAACAGGAAAAACTAGAGGAATCGATAACTCACCTCGGCGACGTCGGGTGGTAGATGCATTTAGGGGACGAACCCCCTGACCCTTGCTCCGCCTCATCAGAACGAGGCCGGTTCGAGCCTGCCCCCTACTCTTGGACAGTCGGGCTCGCCCCGGGTAGCTCCTAGGACACGTTGGCAGCACACCCGCTCCCCTTGGCTCTTGGGGCGCAATGGTGGGGCCACCCTCCTCCGCTGTTACCTCGGTCCCGATGGCAGAGCCACCCACCTCTGTTGACTCCTAGGGCAGGCCGACGGTACGTCCCGCCTCCACCGGCCCCCCAGACGTACCCTACCCTCCGTAGGATGGGAAGGGTCCTGACACATGCAAGGACGGAACCGACGCTTGTCAGCGCATCCACGTTCTCTAAATTGTTCCACTTGATATCGTCAGGTACCGTTTCTTCTTCCTCCATCACCTCATCATCATCACCATCATCATCGTCATCGTCGTTGTCGGTGTCCTCCCCTCGTTCCCGCAGCCGTAGCTTCTGCTGCTTCTTCCTCTTCTTGTCCTCCTTCGCCTTCCTCAGTCGCTCGCCTTTGGCGCGATTCACCGCCCTCATGGTTGAATCCCTTGGCAATGGAGTTGGGTGATCCATGAGGATTAGGTCCCTTGACTGGTCCCACCCCTCTCAAAGTTAGTCCCATGAAGTCGGGAAATTAATTGAAGAGAAGGCAGGAGAAAGGGAAACTTACGATGTAGCCTGGCTCTGGCCGCATTAGAGGACGCCCCGACACTAGGTAGATGAAGTCGAGGGTGGCACCCACGTCATCCCGCAAAGGCTCCATCGCCTCCTTGATGCGTTGCGTGATCTCAGAGTTGGGGAGCATTCCCTCAGCGAGCGCCGTTCCATCGAACGATGCCTCAGGCTGTATCACGTATAGCGGGAGCGCGTGCGTCATCAACGGCGCCACCCTCCTCGCATTGTAGGCCCTAATGACGCCCAACCCTTTCAGGCCATTCTCCTTCAGGATGTGGATGGCGGCGATGTGGTCTCGTATCTTCTTCTTGTCCTTCTCCGGCACGCCCCACTTCCTCCACTGCTCCGAGACCTCTTCAATCAGGCACCCGGTGAACTCTGGTAGAGGGGCGGCGGCGTCATTCTTGAGGTAGAACCACTGTGAGTGCCACCCCTTGTTGGACATTGAGAGCCGCATGGACGGGTACTCGCTGACCTGATTGTTCTGAAGTTGGATGCCGGCGCACCCCATCGACATGTGTAGCTCCTGCCTGCCGCCCTTCCCCCTCCTCCTCTAGAGGCTGACGGTGAAGAAATACCCCCACAAATCAAAGTGGGGACTGATCCCTAGGAATCCTTCACATAGCGCGATGAACGCTGCCATGTGTCGGATCCCGTTGGGATTGAGATGCTGCAGTTCAATCTTGTAGAAGTGCAGCAGCCCTCGGAGGAATTTGTGGATGGGGGTCGCAAACCCATGCTCGTGGAAGTGGGCGAACGACACCACGTCGCCGGGCAGTAACCACTCCTCGGCCGAGGTCCGTGCGCGGAGAAGACCACAACAGACGAGGCCCTCCATGCGCTGGAAGGTGACGTCGGAACGACACCATGGATCCATTGGAGGTGGGAGCGGATGGATGCGAGCTCAATGGCAGTGGAGACGCGGAGGCAGGAAACCTAAGCGTTGGTGGCAGCGGTGTGGCTGCGGAGGCTAGGATGCAGGCGTGCGTATGAAATTCGGAGGGATAACTCTTTTGTTTTATAGGGGCGATGGGTGCGAGAAAACCAACCGCCCATCTAGATCTCCGTACCTGCCACGACCTGTCACCACGTCTTGTCGTGGGGCGTGCGCACGCAACTTATGGCTGTCCCCTCGAAAAACGCACCGGATGTTTCGCCTCCCCGAATGGGCCACGACCCATCACAAGTAAGAGGGATACGGAGCTGAAAACGCTCCTACGGCCTGTCTAAGCCCATAAGTTCAAAGGTTGGCCCACCAACGGATTCAACAACCTCTCCGCCCACTTTTAGAGTGAGAGGTGGAAAGGGATGGGCCCGCTAGCGGCCAGTACCCGGGCGTACGAGCGCCGCGGGTGTCCCGGCCCATGTTCGAGCCTTTGGCGGATTCGATCCATGATTTTTCCTTGAACAAAGGCAGAGACCGATCGAACAGACCTGAGAACTATATGGATTGACCGCTAAGAATCTAGAGTCGGTCACCAGCTGACCCAAACCGGACCCCCACGAACGGGATGTCGGGGCCCCACTCGGACTAGTACGTTAACAACTCATCGAGCACCATGGCTCGTCCGTAGAGGAATATCATGGCACGGCTCAGTCCCTCCGTTTTTATCAGAAAAAACACTTGAGGGAAGACGATCACAAAGATGAGCCGATCCTCTACCAGACCCTTGCTACGAGCGGGGGCTCAAGGAAAGTTAGACTCGCAGGGAGACCGAACGCACGATCACAGAACGATAGACTCCCGTAGGGGTCGAAATCAGGAAAGACCTTTTTTGACCCACCAAATCTCACGGCTATACCCCTGAGAGGCCCGATCGCAATGAAAGGGAATCACCGTCCCCAGGACACGCCATGGGCGACAAGAAAAGGCCAAGGCCCTATGAGTCCTCCCGTTCGGAAAAGCCTCCGAAGAAGTATTCTACTCCTCCGCAGGCTCGGGGGCTACTATCGGAGACCAATACTAGGGTACCCGAAGAGGAGGAGCTAATGGGCATCAACATTGATTCAACAGAGCAGTCAAGAACGCGCCTACAGCTCCAACTGAACCCTAGGTGCGCGGGCTCCGCCTCGTCCGACCCCGAGGCCACGATCTCTGCCTCGCCCGACCTCCGGGGGCGGGCTCCACCTCGCCCGACCTCGAGGGCGTGATCTCTGCCTTGCCCGACCCTGAGGCCACGATCTCTGCCTCGCCCGACCCTGAGGTCGTGATCTCCGCCTCGTCCGACCTTTGGGGGCGGGCTCCGCCTCACCCGACCAGGAGGCCACGGGCTCCGCCTCGCTAGACCCCTTGGGTGCGGGCTCCGTCTCGCCCGACGAGGACCCATACCGCCGCCAACCACTCCAGGGCAAGCGTATTGGCCTGGGTCAAAACTCTTACACTATAGAAGAGACCGGCACGTCCCGATGTAACTCGCGGCCACGACATGCCATATCTGATGATTCACATCAAGAACAACGTCAGGCGTATCGGTGCTGTTCTGCCTAACCCTCGTACGAACACTACCAGGCACGTCAGTTTACTACGACGTCCGCCAGGACGGAGTGGAGCACCATGACCAGCGGATGACGCCTGCGCATGGTGCTAGTTACGGATAGGACCGCGATGTGGAGCCATCCCTGTTGACATCTACAGGGTGGGCGGGACCCGCACGAAGGAGAAGAAGGACCCGGCGATCCTGGAGGCCTTCCTCTCTCTCGTTCTTCTCCTTTTCCTCCGTTATTACCCGCGCTTTCCCTTTGCCTATAAAAGGGAAAGCAAGGCGTCCCATGAAAGGGATCCCGAACCGATCGACCCATCAAGATCCGATACATATCCGCACAAGAGCACAACACGAACGCACAGCTAAGCAGCGATCGAGCTCTCAGCACCCACTCCCTCCTTTCATCAGAGACTTCGGATCATTTTCCTCTCTCGCCCGTTTGTAACCTCTACTATAAACTTTCGGTGCCAGTAACACGAGCAGCAGCGACAAACTGGACGTAGGGACTTTCTGCCCAAACCAGTATAAACCTTGTGTCCTCTAAGCACAACATCCGAGCCAGACGCACAATAATACAAATTTACTTAACGGTGGTAACTCGAAACACCGACACTCCTCGGATCTATATGCACATTTCTCCTTATCAAATTGCAAAAATATACATGATTTCCGGATTCCTTATTCGAGTTTATAAAAACCTTTCGGCAATATTTTGTTCTTGTGCTTCTTTTTTAGTTTATATATACTCCTGATGAAACGCTCTTTGATCCTGGACACTTCGCACGAACTGTATTGGTCACACCATGTGGTTGGTTAGCTCGTCGGGCAAGTCCCAGAGTACACAGTCGGAGCCAAACAGGCCGGACATGTCGGAGCCGCCCTTCCCGCCGTCCTTGACGTCGTCCGCCTCCTCGTCGCCGCCGCTGCTCCCGACGCTGTCATTGCCTTTCTCCGGCAACGCCGCCGCCGGCCTGGGCGCGGCCTCTGTGCCCGAACTCCCGCTGTACATGCTCTGGTGGCTCCACATCGACGTGCCCTGGTCCGCGTCGCCGCCGGCGCCGGCGCCTCCGAGGAAGTACTCCGGCACCGTCCCGTTGTCGTACCGGAACTCCTCCTGCCCGTGCGCGGCGGGGTTGTACGTGGCGTACATCCCCGCCAGCCCCTCTGTCATGTCGGTCGGCGCCCAGGGCTGCTGCTGCTTGCCGGGGGGCGGCGCGCCGGGCTCGCTCATGATGGCGCGGGACAGGCCCAGCTTGATGCGCTCGATGGTGTCGTCGGTCTGGGGCGGCGCCGGGAAGCCGCAGGGAGGCGCGCCCGCGCCGGAGCCGCCCGCGATCGCCATGTCGGGGGGCACCGCGGGCGAGGGGAAGTCGGTGGGCCGCTTCTTGGTGAGGAGGTGGAGCATCTCGTCCTTGAAGCACCCCAGCGCGGCCTCGGCGAGGTGGGCCACCTGCGGCGGCGCCAGCGTGGTGGCGATCTCGGCCATGAGGTGCGAGAAGGACTTGTGCGTAACGGGGTCGATGCCCATCCCGGACAGCTTCTTCTTCAGCTTGGTGTTCCAGTGGTTCTTGACGTCGTTGTCCGTCCGGCCCGGCAGCTGCGCCGCGATCACCGACCACCTGCACGCAGCTCGTTCGTTGCGCATTGCTAGTCAGCGCGTCGCTCCCATCGCGACATACACAGTGGCCATCAGAACAAGTCCGAGAGGGGAGGACGGCCGGGCCACCTGTTGCCGACGACAGAGTGCAGCTTGATGATGGTCTGCTCCTCGGCGTCCGTGAACTCGCCGTGCTTGAGGTCGGGCCGCAGGTAGTTGGTCCACCGGAGACGGCAGCTCTTCCCGCACCGCTGCAATCCTGCCATGCCATCACACAAACTCGGTCACAGTTCAGAGGCGGACATTGGCGGTCCCTGACCCACCGGACCATGGACGCTCGCTAGGACGTACCGGCATTCTTGGGGATGAGGCGCCAGTTGCGCGTGCCGTACTGGGTGATGTAGGAGAGCAGCTTGTTGTCCTCCTCGGGCGTCCACTGCCCGCGCTTGACGCTGTCCTTCTCGCAGCACGGGATTCGCCCCATCCTCTCCTCCGGCTTCCGTCAGCTCGCCGCTCCGGCTCTGGTATTTCTCGCACGCGCCTGCGGTCTCGGAAGAGTGGCACGCCCCCTGCTGCGACGCCAGACCACGGCTCCGCGGAGTGAGCAAGCAGTGCCCTAGTGCGGCGCTTACATTGCGCGCCGGGCGCATAAATAGGCGCGCGGCCGCGCCCGCTCGTGCAAGCTGCGGCTCCTCCTGGCGCCTGCTGCAGTGCTGCTGCTGCCGGCGGCATGCGCTCGGCGCACGGGAAGGGCGGGCGCGGCGCGCACGGGCGAAGGAGGCATGAGCGGCGTAAAGAATTCAACGCCCGCGCAACGCGTGACCGCCCCCGGGGAGCAGGGACAGGTTGCCCACCCGCACAGCGCCGGGTCAACCCCCGGTCCAACCAGAGCGCTTTCCTCCCCCCTGGCGCCCGGCGCGTTTGCGTCTCGTCCGTCGGCTCCCGGCGCTAATCGACGCCGCGCGCGCGTCGGCGGGGTGATGGACGTGTACTTTCCGGTGGCAGTGCAGTGCAGTGCACAGCCCAGCCGTGCGCCCGTGCCGGATGCGTTATGCGTGCGTGGTTCTTCAGTTCTTCGCCTCCGTCTGTCAAAGAAGACGGTCGGCTCATTCTGCTCCAGTTGCCAAATTGGCAGTGGCAATTGGAATGGAGAATTTTCAGTGTTCTTCAAGGGACTATCACACATTCACACTGCTAATCTTCGATAACAGTTACAGATTTAATACTACTGTCAGTGTTGTAGGAGTACTTTGTATTCATAAATCTCCAATCTAAAGAGGTGAGGTGAGACACACTGCTCTACTTGTTCAAAAAATAAAAAAGACACACTGCTCTAGGGACAGCAGGAGGCTCTGGTATTTCTATGCGGTGCATTTTGATTACACGCTTCACTCTTGAGATGAGGCTGCTATTTTATCCTCCCATCCACGTCAGAAAGAACACGGAGGCCAAGGGCACGCAGCTTCAAGAACCCCCTGAATCATGTTCTTTCCCACTGTTCCAGTAAAAACCAGTCGTGCTGGTCCACGGCTTATGCATGCTCAATTCAAATGGACATGGTGGCACAAACTGAATCAATTACGAGGTGCAAATTGAGGGCCAGGAAATTGCAAGGAGACATGCAGAGGAGTCCCTGAAAGTCTGAAACTGAAACTACCATGTTCGCTTTGCTGAAAAGCCAGGCTGAAAAGTACAGTTCGCTGATTTGTTGTGAGAGAAAAACACTGTTACTTCGCTGGAAAGTACGGCTGATAAGCCAAGCGAACAGGGTAGGCGGCATTCAGTGACACAGGTTCCCTCAAAACCGTCTTCTGAACTTCTGAGGTAACTCGGCGGTATCAATACGACATGTGTCCATGGTAACATTGTGTGCATACTACAATCCAGTGCAGGAGGAACGCACTGAAAATAGATAGATCCCGCTGCCACTCCCTGATCCTGCAGATGACCTGCTACTAGTGTATGCTGCTGCTGTTCATCATCCCCTCGGAAATGAACAATCTCCCATTCGCTCTAGCTGCATTCTCCATTATACCATTACAACAAGAAGAAAAGCACTTAGCCTAACCTAGCTTCTGGGTGATTAGCCCCTCGATGGAGCCGACGAGCGCGAAGGCGCTGACGAGGAGGCAGACGACGCTGAAGGTCTGCAGGACGACCCAGCGGGCGGACCACCGGGGCACGTTCCGCTGGATGAAGTACATCTCCACGGGGAAGTAGATGGCCAGCTGCCAGAAGTTGAGCGCGCCCAGCAGCGCCAGCACCTTGTTGAAGTACATCTCCACGGTCGTGGACGCCACGTACAGCGTCCGGAAGCACACGCGCAGCAGGGTTCACCCGGCACGCCGGCAGGCACGCGAACCGGACGGTGTGGAAGTCGTTCACGAACCCGCTGTCCGGGAACCGGTACGCGAACTGGAAGATCGGCTGGCTGTACACCTGCAGGTTTAAATTTCAGACACGCACTCATGCGTCCAGTCCATCTGTGATGATTCTGTGTTTCGGGCTGTCTCTGTGTCAGTGTACTACCTGGTACCCGCCCAGCAGGTGGAGGATGATGCACGCGTTGGCGAAGTCGATGAGCCAGTAGGGCTCGTAGAAGCCGAAGCCGGTAAGGAGGTTGCCCGGCGCGTCGCTCCCGAAGGCGGCGTAGCCGAAGCAGCCGCAGCAGAGGTAGAAGAATGTCGTGACAAGGATCGAGATCATCGATGCCCTCTTCATCGTCTTGTTCTCGGCCGGTGGTGACTTCAGGGTGTCCTAAATTATCGGAGGTGAAAAGAAATACGTAACTTGGTACTGTGATTCATTTGCTAGCAGTGTCTCTGAAAGAATGGCGTGCGACTATACGTTACTGTGTTTGTATTTCCAGGAGGATCAAGGAGTACGGGTACGCGAAGGCAATGTCGCCAATGGCCTGCGAGACGCGCCAAACCTTCTGCATAGGCGTCCTCATCTGAACTCCTGTTATGCTTCCTTTGATCGTCCCGTTAGCTGCACACAAACAATTCTGTGTTATCTGGTGCCAACATTCATCTCATATACACAACCCGGCCTCTAATTCTAAATCTAAATGTTTAACTGTACTATGTGAGTTATTTTCGACTGAAACGCTGGAGAGATTGGATTATCTAGTGAAAGAATCAGAGTGCGTGCGTACCAATGGTTGTTGCGAGACCGAGGCCAAAGCCGATGAACGCGTACGAGAACGACATGACCGCGGCGACGACGGAGAGCCACGCCATGTCGTGGAAGTCCGGTATGAAGGAGAGGAGGAGCTGGGCGGCGCCGAAGATGAGCTGCCACCGTAGTCGCAGTGCGCATCGTGCCCATGCTTGTGGTAGCAGTTCGCCTTCAGAATCGCCCTGCGATGGACATCCAACAGCAGAGCAGCCCGACACAGGACACACAAGCAAAGCACACGCAGTTAACAACAAAAGTATTCAGCCAAAAATAACCGCCAGAGGAACAACAAAAGCAACCATCGTCAGGACCCTGCTCGCTAAAAAGAGAGGGCAGGAAGCACACGGTTGCAGACAGCTTGAGCTGTATGGAAGTTTCGAGAGAAAAAAAGGGTAAATTTTGTTAACGGCCAGCGGCGGCTACCTTGTGCTAGTGGCGGTGGTGATGGTATAGGCGACACCGCAGCCGTACAGGCTCACGAACTGCAGCGAGCCGCAAGCCCAGGTATGCTTCTTGCCTGAGCATGTCGCCACAGAGCAGCACACACAGTACACGGGTTATTTAGGGGGTGATTGGTTGCCCCGACGGAGCGGTCCTAAGGCCCATCCGGCACGAGTTGATGCAGTGAGGGCGTGATTGGTATCCCGACTCGCACCATTTGCCTGCTCCTCTCCATACCTTTCCCCTCCGCCATCCCGCACGCCTCCATCTTCTCGATTTATCCTTCCCTCTCGGTCCTGGACGCCGCGAGGCTTGGCGGGAACGATTTCGGCTTGCGCGGGAGATCTTGTCGTCCTGACCTCCTGGGCTAGGGTTACCGCCCCCATTTCGCGCCTCTCCTTCCTCCTCTAGTTTGGTGCGCTCTCTCCTCTTCCTCCCCATCGAGCTCGCTTGACCTATACGGTCAACCTCCACCGGCGGATTCATGTTGGTCCTCCAGTGCTCCGACAGTATATCTCACCTGCTCCATCTCCTACCCCTCTCTGTGCGGTGATTTCTGTTGAATCGTTTGTGTATTTTGTTTGTCGTCCACTGATACTAGGGTTCATGTTCTTAAATACTTAGATCTGGGCGACATTTTTGCTGATCTATATGTTTACATTTGTTTTCGTCTTGTTCTGCCCTCAGATCTGTGTGATGTGCACCTCTTATTTGTTGTACACATGTGTTGTCGCCTAGATTTTGCACATGATGATACCTAGTCCGATTTATAAACTGAGCAAAGTGCCTTGGTCGATGATGTTTACTTTGTAAGGCGTTGGAGGAGCACCCTATGGTGTGGCAGCCGCGTCTTGCTTAAGTCCATAGCTCTGATTCTAGTGATGGTTCTTTGTGCTGAAACATCTAGAATTTATGACTGTGATGTTCAATCTCTTGATATGACCGTGATGTTCAAACTCTTGATATCTATTTGGCCAATGATGCAACATGAAAAATAAACTCTGAGGTGGCTGCAATTTGTTTTTTGTGCATTCTGTATGATTCTCATGACTGTCATCAAACCATGGGACATGATCTTAATTTTCTTCTATCTGTTTCTGTTTGCCTTAGCAGCCACCTATGATTGAGTATCTAGAAATTGTACCAACATTTTGTTAAGCTGAGGCCTCACTTACTTTGCCAATGATGATATCATATTAAGCATGTCAACTACGTTACCAAGAACTAATGACCTTGAGCTTGTGTTGAGGTACTGAAACTTTGTTTCTTACTCTGTTTGTTTCTTATGCTCCAAGCTCAAGGTCAACCGAGGAGCAACTGATATCTAAGGCCAATGTGTTTACATCATTTGATCACCATCTTATTATTGGTATTTTGTTTCTTATGTACTGTTGAGTAGGGTGGTAACCTCACCAAAACCATACCTGGGTGCTCACACCTTTTGTCGTGCGCCAAACCAAACACAGCTGGGCACACCAATTCATACCACAAAACCATCCACACAAGCAACCAAACACGATTCCTATGATCCAGTATGCTAAACTCATTTGCAACCAAACAGGCCAAGGTGCATGGTCTCATCTGGGATAGTTCGAGCCTGCACAGGCCCTCCATCTCGACTGGCAGACCAAGAAGCAACCAATCACGCCCTTAGGTTGCGTTTGGTGACGCTCTCAGCGGCTCCGGCTCCGCTGCGCTTGCACTGTTCGGTCCTGTGCGTCACTGTGCGCTGCCTTTAAAAGGCTCCGGCTCCGCCTGCCACTAGACACGATTTCGGCCGCATGGGGGGGGTGGCAGCGACCCCTGCTGGCCCCCTGGTTCCACCTCTGCACGGCTGCCCACCCACCCCATCAGAAATAACTCCAACACTAAGCTCGAACCCAAGACCCCTCGGCTGGCACGTCCACAGCTCGCGGCCCATGGATGAGAGCCACGCTGTGATTCGCGGGGACTGAGTATGGGTGTGCTCACGCAGCAGGAGCGGCGGTAGGCAAGAGAGGCGAGGAGAATGACATGCCATGTCCATGTTATTCATCGTCCAGCGAGGAGAGAACGAGCAGCTCCATGCGGCAAACATGGTGCCCGCTGGCGCATGCTGTCATAAGCAAGATGTCACGCGCAAGCACGAGCTCGGCCGCGCGGCGCTGCAGGGGCGTGACATCGGCCTCCGGTGCACGCGGGCACAAGCTCGAGCCGCCACCGCTCCCGCTCATGGCACGCCCCGCGGTGGGGGCACCCGTGGCGCTCGCTGACGCACGGCCAAGCGGGAGGAGGGGAGGCGGCGGCCGTGGCGGAGGCGGAGGCGGAGGCGGAGGCGGAGCGGCTCATTGTGCTCCTGCCATGTGCTGTTCACGCTAGCCTCGTCGCTGACCTCGGTGCCTAGGTCATCGCGCGACTGTGCCGTCTGCTAGAGCATGTTCCACGACGACGGCGAGCTCCACCTCCTGCTCGCCTGTTCATGCGCCTTCCACTCCCGCTGCGTGGCCCCGTGGCTTCGTGCGAACCCAGATCCTGTCCGTTGTGTAAGCGCGTGTTCAGTTCCACCCTAAATTCCAAAAAAGTGCTACAGTACCTATCACATCGAATGTTTGCGGCCCGTGCATGGAGCATTAAATGTAGACAAAAAAAAACTAATTGCACAGTTTGGTGGGAAATTACGAGACGAACGTTTTGAGCCTAATTAGTCCATGATTGAACACTAATTGCCAAATAAAAACGAAAGTGCCACAGTAGCCCCAAATTCCAACTTCCTGGAATTAAACACGCTCTAAGCGTGAGAAAGAAGAATGATAAAAACTCAGTTTGTATTTCATCAAGGCTTATGCCTATATACATGTACATCACGGTCATAGCTAGCTAGATGCAAGGAGAGCCAAGGAACGTGTCCATGTACACCTCTCGGTCAGAACTAGCTAGACTCAAGGAGAGCCTAGGAACGTGCTAATGTGTGCTAACACGCTGTGTCGCGCCTCCATCGCGCTGCCCCACCCACCGCTCACAGACCTCCTCCGTGTGGAGCTCGGCAGCGTCAGCAGCCGCCGCTCCAACCCGGACGTTGCGGCAGCCGTCCGCGCGTACCCGCTCGCTTGTGGCGTCCCCAACTCGGCGTCGTCAGAGTACCTCGTCGAGGAGGAGCTCCAGGTCGTGCTCAAACTGAGCCCGCCCGCCACTGCCGGGTCCAGCGACCCACCAACCCTGTAGTCACATCAGCAACAGCAGCACGAGCTTGCCGCATTGGAGCGCGGGCAGCTGCCGTCGTCGTCGTCCGTGGGCCTGACCCCTACGGCATCGTTCATGTCGACAGCGGAGCGGTGGAGCAACTGGTGGAACAGCCGAACGCACCGGCGCAACAGCAGGCGCTGGAGCAGCCGGTACGACACTGGGACCGTGATGACCGCTAGTGCCGCACGGGCGTAATCTCGGCCGCCAACTACGCATGGCGTGCTGTCGCCGGCACAGGCAAGCCCCCGTGGTATGGCCTAGCCACGCCACCAAGACTTGTGAGGAGGGGCCGACGAGCTTCGTGTGCAATCGTGGAAAAAAATAAAGGAGACGCAAAATGAGCGTGAGGGGTTTAATGTAAAATTGACTGTCATGTTGGCACGCCACGTAAGTAAAATATTACTGACAAAGCGGTATGGACCTGCGGTGAACCAAGAATCAAGATAAGAGATCTAGAAATGCATTTTGAGAGTTCGTGGACCTAAGTGACACACCCTTACGAGTTCCAGTGCCGCTGATACATTTAACTCTTTACTTACAGTATCAACAAGGCCATAAAACCACACCACGAACGAAGCAAGTTCAGTTCAGAAGTTCCTCTCTCGTAGTTCGTTTGTAGCTGCTGCTGTGCTTCGTTCTAATAGAAGCTAAGCCAGCAAGTAGTGAGACGACAGGTACACGTATATATGGTGTAGCGGTATAGTATACCGAGATAGACGCGGACGGCGTCCAGGTAGGAGCGGTTCCGAGGCCCCTTCTCGGGGTCGCCGCGGAGACGTAGGTGACGAGCGCGAAGCAGAACATGCAGGCCGGGCCGACCACCCAGCCCAGCTGCGCCACGCTCTAGGCCAGCGACAGCACCCCGGAGCCGATCACCGCCGTGATGATGTGCGCCGCGCACGTCCACGCGGTCCCTGCACGACGCACGCACGCCGTCCCGCGCAGTGCTTGCGGTTGAGACGCGTAGGAGAGGCAAGGTTTCAAAGGCGGGGCGCGCGAGTTAAGGGCGTTACCAGTCCGGCGCGGGTGGCCGTCGTCGTCGCAGCGGCCGTCGAGCACCTCGAGCGAGTGGTGCACCGCCATTGCATGCGCGCGGCGTTCCACCGCCCGATTGGTCTGTCCGAGAGGCGAGAGGCGAGAGGCTGGCTTGGCTGCTCTGCTCGGGGAATGGACAAGCGCGGGCTGCGATCGGTTGGTGCACTTGCGGCGCAGTATCAGTCGGTGCGGGAGGAGCTGCTACGGCTATGGCTAAGCACGCAACAACAACGACCGCGGCGGGGAGAGTATAATAACGCAGAACAGAGGACTGGTGAACGACGACACGGAGGGTCCGCGGCGGTCTCGGTCATCAGATCGGCAACGCCGTATAGCCGAACGGCCGTGTACGGTGTACATGACGTCCTCCGCCCTGATTGCTGCTTGAGCCCTACTAGTAGGCCCCTAGCTAGCGACTCGGTGCACTGCGCCGTGCAGCCTTTCGGGGGCGAAAAGTCCGGCAGCATCGGCCCCGCATACGAGCCAATACAAATGCACGCCACTTGGGCCACAGCCCCGCATGGTATTACCTAGGAGACCGGGGAGATGCTGCATTTGCGTCTGGCGATGCAAGAGGACTATAGTACAGTTCAATAATTGTACATTTGTATTCCATGCGTGTTCCGTGGCATGCGTAGTCATACACGAAAAATCCAAAACTCCAAATCCCTACTGATTTCTCAACAAAAATTCCATTTCGCTCAAGGTGCCACGGAGCAAAGAACTGGTGGGCATTGGCGAGACATATAGGCTTGCTGCCCTCTGCAGCACGTGGGGGCTCATGCCTTCCACCGGTTCATTTGCTGCGACTCGGTTTGTTCGCTGGGTCGTAAACAATAGTAAATTTTTAGTTAGAATATTATTTTTCTCTCATACCAAATCAGCCAGTAATAATCACTGTGTTCGGTTGGTACACTTTCAGCTTGTTTCAGCTTATTCTCTCTCACATAATACTATTGAATCATTCAAAACCATCCGAAATTTACTGTGCACTACACCAGCCGAACACAGTGAATAATCCACGATCATATCAGCATCAGCCGGGCTTATGAGCTATGGCGCCGGAATAGCTGCTACAGGAGCAGAAACGGCACGTTCCCGACTTTCATTTGCCACGACATGGTGCGGCTTCCGTTCGGGCAAATCAGTGGCCGCCCAGCCCATCCCCCATCATTGGCGTGGTGCCTTGGAGATTTCACCCTGTCAGTAGTAGTTGCGGAATGCATAATTGGAAACTTGCCACCGCCTCCGTATGACCACTACGAAAGTGAC